ATATGCCGTGAAGGAATACCGCCGAATCTGTTGATTCGTCTTGTAGTGGTGCGTCAAATGCAACGTAGATTCCCATCCAATTAGATTGAATTTGGTATTGATGACGTGAAAAATAATAACGGTAACTCCACTGAAATTATTCAAAACTAAAGTAACGTTGTTATCACCTCCTTAGTGCACAGACATTGATGCAAACTTAGCAACTTTCTCACAATATATAGTAACTTTTCACATCCCTCCTGTGCCTCTTTTTAATTCAAATCAAAGAAATAAATAGATGCAACATTTGGTTATTTTAATCCATTAATGCCATGTTGGGTTCAAGGCGTCTAACCCACATGCAGAAAAACACTCTTAAGACAGGGAAAAAAGTTCAAAGATTTATTTACAATATTTACAAAGGAAATGATGCACGGGTTCTGAGGGCTGGTCACGGGAGGAACATCACTGAGGAGGACGGAGCAGTTAGAATGGATCCAGGAAATGTGCAGTTTACTGATGGTGGGGATAAATACCTGCTCAGAGAGGATTCTGGTCTGCAGGGGGGAACCTTGTGAGTCCAGAGGCTAGTCGGCAGGCAGAGGGCTGAGGCAGAGACTGAGACTGGGTGCAGGCAGGCAGATTTCCAGGCAGAGATTTCTATCTCCAGAGTTTCAGGTTTCCAGGCAAGTCAGGATCTGTGAGGCAAGGAGAAACAGGGTCAGACAGGTTCACAAAATCAGGGTCTAGATCAGGCAGGCTGGCTCAGGTCTTGCTATACCATTACTGGCAAACACTCTGGCAGGAAAGTGTCAGCCTCCTCCTCCTTAAACAGGTCTTCTTAATGAGGAGACAGAAAACTGGTGTGTAGGAGCAGCTCATGCCCTCAGGAAGGAAGATCTCCGGCGCCCTCTGGTGGAGAAGGTGGACAAGCCTCCAGATCCCAACAGTACCCCCCCCCCCTCAACGACCGCCACCTGCCGGTCCAAAGGAACAAGAGGGTAGAGAGGAATGGTAGTCAGAAATTAAAGCAGGGTCTAAAATAAATGAACCAGGAATCCAGGTTGCCTTCCCAGTCGCCCCGACGACGGGAGTCTACGATCCGGCGAACGGTGTAAGCAGGATGCCCATCAATGTCACGGGGGGGAGGAGGGGAGTCGGAAGGAGGGCAAAGCGGACTGGTCAGGACGGGTTTGATCTGATAAACGTGGAAAGTGGGATGGATCTGGAGAGAAGGAGGGAGATGCAGGCGGACAGNTCCCAACAGTACCCCCCCCTCAACGACCGCCGCCACATAGTCCAAAGGAACAAGAGGGTAGAGAGGAATGGTAGTCAGAAATTAAAGCAGGGCCTAAAATAAATAAAAAACTTATTACACATTCCTTTGTTGCTTCTGAAAAACAACCAGGATGCCCATTTTTTTTTATTTCACTAAAATGTGCAACTCAGATATGTTTTAAATATTTCTTGCTTTATTGAAACAACTGTAAAATGCATTGATTCTTCTAGAAATCTGTTGTTTCCAATATGAGCTTGAATATGATCTGATGGTTATTTCAGTAAAGCATCATTTATAAATCCTGTATAATATATGAAGTTAGGCTTGATGTAGTGTGATCAGTGCATCCTGGCTTAATCTGTTCCTAAGGACCAAACCAAAATCAGGATCTGTGACTATGTCAGGTCAGGTTGTTCTTCCTTTGGTGTCCAGGAAAGGTTATATGACTATTTATCCATTTAACATCATTTAACATCAAACACACCTCTGATGGTGCAGCAAATGGTGGCTTTGCTAAGATTACATCATCTTCTCCTGCCCACAGGAACCAACCACCAGAGAAAACCTGAGCCCAGCACAGATCATTTGGTCAAAGCAAATTGTGTGAGTTCACCTGCAGCTGTGACACCAATCAAACCAAGCAGAGGAACAGACTGGATGTAGAGAACAGCCTGGGATCAGCTGTTTTTACACTGAGCTTTCAGAGCTCATCAAAGCAGCTCAGGTGTCTTGATGAGAACAAAGTAAAACTAAATAAGTCAGTCTGACTATACTTTTTGTTCTGTATTTTGTTCCTAATTCTTCAAGATTAAATGTGATCATCAGCGAGTTATTCAGAGGAGCTCCAGTTTTATAAATACAGATTTATGATTTTATTTTGATTCCTTTCTAACTTCCAGGCAACATACTTATGTTTTTTATTTGAAATGGTAATTATAAAATGCCTACGAATTAAATGCTCAAATTAAAAGATCAAGTAAAATATTTGTATTTTATAAAACTTATTGTATATTCCACCTTTGGGCAGTCATCAATAGTTTTGACTGAGAGGGGAACTCATGGTGAGACAAAATGCCCAAAGGGAAACATGTGTCTAAAAAGGTTGGAAAACACTGATCTACAGTGTGAATAAAAATGTGTTTGGAGAGAAAATATCTGCTTCTTTGTCAGCAATTCCTTTAATCCACTTCACAGAGCAACAGTCTATTAAAGGCTTTTTGTCAAACTTTAAACAGCAGTTTGTAAAAACAGTTGAACAGGGACAATGTCCACATTGATACCTATAGAGTTAATAATGGTATAGGCTTCCATAATAATACTAAACAATACTTGACTGAGAGCAAATGTGTTTCAGTTTTTAATGTGGGTTGATAAAAAAAAAAATCAAAACATAAGAAAACAGAATATAGTCTAGCCTTCATATTTCGAACATAAATAATCTAAATCTAAATAAGTACCATGAGGCGAACATTTCAGGATCAAAATTATTAGTTTTCTTCTTTGCATTATTAGATCAACGGATCAGTTCTGTAATAAAGGTTTTCTGTCTCTCTCTGTAGTAGAGGTGGAACCAGGGTGTTTTTGATGAATCAAGATGAAGCCAAACACCTGGGGCCTGTTTCAATAAGGAAGTTCAACCAACTCTGAGTTAAAACTT